TCAGTGCCAGCCGGGCTTCTGACCAGAGCACTGTTAGAGCTTCTCTATGTGGGGGCTCCATGGTTCCTGACTCTGAGGTTCTGCCTGCTTTTCATCATCACCTAATGGGCTGCTGGATGAGTCCTTTCGCCCAAGACCCCACTGGTCTTAGTATCTACGAGAGCCACAGTAGGCTTCTCAGAGTTATCGTGGGGTGGAAGAAAAGAAAGTAAAACAGTAGATTCCATAGTTTAATTTGACCCACTCAATTGCACCTGCTGAAAAGCAGCATTGCCACTTGAGTCCCAGGGTTTTGTCACGCTTGGGTTTATATGCAGCTTTTTTTTTAACTAACCACAGAGACTTGCTTGCATTTTCCTTAGGGAACATTCTCCACACTGCACCCAAAAGTGATATTTCCCATTCTAACTCTTAGGTTCTGATGTGGAATTTTGTTTCTGATGTGTCAAATCTGCTGTTTTCTTCCTCTTGATATTTGACATCATAACTATTAATAACAGCAAGCAGTTTAAACCTTGAAAATATACTAAGTCATGCTGTTTTACTTAGGAGGTTACCTTTGGGGCCTCAGAGGCAAGAGAGAGGTGGTGTTCTTTGAACTGCCAGTAATTGGGGCAGGGAATAAGGTGGATTTTAGGACCAGAAGGTAAGCACTCTCAGAGTGGGGATTATGCCGTGTTCAGTCTGGAATTCCCAGTGTCCGGAATAGAGTCTGGCTGACCCAAGGGGCTCAGTAGATGTCTGTTGAATGCACGCTGAGTAAATAGGGAGTGAAGAAAGGGGAGAGGGAGAGTAATCACAGATGCAGGGGTCAGAGAGGAAGGCATGGATCGGGGTGTCTGTCCTGGCAGTGGTGGTGCTGGTAGGAGGGAGGCAGATGAACTGTGCTCGGCCTCACAAAGATGGGCAAGGGAGAGCACAGCCACTCCCAGCTGAGTGCCGCAGCTGCCCTGGGGTGGCGGGCAACAGGTTCTTACGGGCAAACCTTTATTTACTTTTGCCTTGCTAGGAAGTGGTAGGAAGGGACAGGACTGACATTTTGGAGTGGAATACAGTCGCGCTATGCCTGCCTCCCCACCTTAGAAGTGACCTAGTTTTGGGGACATTGTGTGACTGATGGTAGAATCCCTTCTAATCTTGCCAATCTGTCCTGTGGATGAGTCTCACAGGAATATCCATGACTGTAAGGCCACGAGAACCTGAGCTTTGGCACTGGACTCAAGGCCGCTCATTTAATGTGGTTATAGCAGGTTTCGGCATGAACAGAAAATGGTCTGCTCCCTGGAATAGAATACTTTGCTCTCAGCCGATATTGGCGGGTGTGTCTCATTTTACTGCATCACTGGGAATCTTGAACTTTGAGGGATGCTATAGACCAGTGACAGGAACAGTAGCTAAGGAGAAGAGAGTGTCCTGGCATCCAGGGGAGCTTTTACATTTTCTTTCCCAAATATGATTATATTTTCTGGACCAAAGGCAAAAAAAAAAAAAAAAAACAATACTGGAGTTCTTTGAGTAATCATGGGAGGGAGGAAAAGAAAGAAAAGAAAGATGTTTTTACAATAGGTGTGATAGAGTCTCACAGTCATTTATTGTTAATATTAAAAGAATTTGTCCAGAGGATCTGAACAGACACTTCTCCAAAGAAGAAATTCAGATGGCCAACAGGCACATGAAAAGATGCTCCACATTGCTAGTCATCAGAGAAATGCAAATTAAAACCACAATGAGGTATCACCTCACACCAGTTAGGATGGCCAACATCCAAAAGACAAACAACAACAAATGTTGGAGAGGTTGCGGAGAAAGGGGAACCCTCCTACACTGCTGGTGGGAATGTAAATTAGTTCAACCATTGTAGAAGGCAGTATGGAGGTTCCTCAAAAAGCTCGAAATAGAAATACCATTTGACCCAGGAATTCCACTCCTAGGATTTACCCTAAGAATGCAGCACTCCAGTTTGAAAAAGACAGATGCACCCCTATGTTTATCACAGCACTATTTACAATAGCCAAGAAATGGAAGCAACCTAAGTGTCCATCAGTAGATGAATGGATAAAGAAGATGTGGAACATATACACAATAGAATATTTTTCAGCCATAAGAAGCAAACAAATCCTATCATTGCAACAACATGGTTGGAGCTAGAGGGTATTATGCTCAGTGAAATAAGCCAGGCAGAAAAAGACAAGTATCAGATGATTTCACTTATACAAATGGAGCATAAGAACAAAGCAAAAACTGAAGGAACAAAACAGCAGCAGACTCACAGAACCCAAGAATGGACCAAAAGTTACCAAAGGGAAAAGGACTGGGGAGGATGGGTGGGAAGGGAGGGACAAAGGGGAAAAAGGGGCATTACTATTAGCAGACATAATGTGTGTGGGGGGGCATGGGGAAGGAAGTATAACACAGAGAAGACAAGTAGTGACTCCACAGCATCTTACTACACTGATGGACAGTGACTGTAATGGGGTATGTGGGACTTGATGATGGGGGGAGTCTAGTAACCATAATGTTGCTCATGTAATTGTAGATTAATGATACCAAAATAAAAAAATAATAAACAAACAAATAAATAAATAAATAAAAGAATTTGTGCCCAAGCCGATGACTCTGGACCTACCAAATACTCAGTGAATTCTCTCACATGATCCTTGAACGATCTCCCTACAGTTCATCCATGTGCCATTCTGTCAGAATCCCAGTACTGGCCACAGTTTAGATTTCTCTCCTGTCCTGGAATCCTCTTTGCACGTAATTAAATCATTGGATTCAGAGTCAGGGAGAGGCAGTTTGGAATACAGTGTTGGGGCTAGTTTAAGACCAACTCCACAGATGGTATCCTCGTTTGCACGCTCTATACTGTTATGTGCTCGAATCCATGTAATGCTTGATCTGTGAGATATGACAAAGTGGTGGCACTGCCCCCTTGCCACCCCCACCCCCACCTCCAACACACACACCCGTACACACACGTCTTCAGGAAGGCTGGATGGCTTGCTTGAGTTCATCCAGGTTTCTGAGTCAGATCTAGTGTTCTCTCAGCTACTGGGGCAGCTCCCGAGGGTCAACATCGTGAGGCTAACTCAATAAACTTAGGGTTTCGTTCCTGTTCCATGCAGCTCTTAGCCTTTCCCAGGGCCACAGATCCAAGATAAACTTCCTGCCAAGCCACTTGGCTCTCCCATGTGATGAAAGAGAAAAATGACCCAGCTTTTGGAGTCTGTTCTGACATATGCTGGGCAGGCTTCTTGGGTGTACAACCTGTGTAGTAGCCCGGGTCTCTGTCGTCAGAGGGGGCTGTGCTTGGTTTAATGCTCTGTGGTCTCTGTTTTGAAATTCTGGATCATCTTTTGAATAGGAGGCCCTGCATCTTCATTTCCTCTGGGCCCTACAAATTAGGCAGCTGGCTCTTCGTTCAAACTTCTGACTTTGGGTATGTTTCTTAACTTCTCTGAACCTCAGTTTTCTTATCTGTAAATCCGAAACAATGTAGTTATACATATCTTAAAATGTTCTTGTGCAGAATAAATCGGATGTAATGGCGTTTGGCTAACAGAGCCCTTATACATGCTTGGACTGCAATAAATCTTAACTTCTTTACATCTAATCCAGGGGGGAAACCTCCTCATTAACATCTTATTAGGTCAGCACTAAAACACTGGTTATATATACACAGAATTTAGTTTTGTGCTGGAGAGATGATTACTTGGATTTTTGCTGTTGTGAGATTAGGCTAAAGGGCTTTTTTTCATCCAAAGTCACTAATTCAAGCCAATGTGCAGACTCAATAAGCAGAGTGATAAGGGGAGCACTGCAATGGGGTCAAAGGCTAAGAAATCAGTCAATGCTCGTTATTGCTAAGCCAATACTAGGAGCACCCGCACCTCTCAGACAACACTGAGCTTGATCAACTGTAGCTACAGGCCAAGGGTAAGGTGAGCGGTCAGGAAAAATGTAAAGAAGAGTAAAGAATGCAGGAGCTGAGATTAGTGACATTTAAAAATATGTTGTTTAGTGTTGATCTAGCTGGCTCAAATATATTATTTCATTTAATCTTCCTTAAACCCCATGAGGTAGATAACATTAGGAATATCTTGTAGATGAGGAAACTAAACTCACAGAATATTTACAGTTCTAGAGAATATCCTAGAATTGTTAGTGTTCCATAGTACTCGAGGACACAGCTAAATGGGCCAATGAAGATTATCTGGTGGCATATGGGCTTCATCTCATGACATAACTCTAATTTCTTGGTAGGCCTGTGTTAAGGATTTTGAGACCTTATCTGGACTGGGTGGTGTAGCTTGTCTTGATCAAATAGCTATGTCTGCCTTGGGCTCTGGAAAAGTGGTGACATGTAAGGCAGATATTTGCTATGTTTGATCTAGAATCCTCATTTTGCAGAATACATCACAACTAAGAAGTTAATATTCTCCAGTTTTATATCATGAACTACCACTGCTTTTAATCCTGGAGGTCACCGATGTTTAGAGCAAGGCTGTTTCACCAACCAACCAACCATTCAATGAGAAAATAGCAAAATAAAACGAAAAGGAATAAATTTATTGACATTTTGAGCATTAATAGGAAAAGTATTAGAGCTTAGAGGATTCTTTTCAGGATCCATAAAATTATAACCTAGAGAGCATTTCAAATTTTAGTGTGTTATCAGTGGCTCCTAGAAGGCTTTTCAAACACAGGTTATTGGACCCCACCTGCATTATTTCTGATTTAGTACAACTGGGGTGTGACCTAAACTTCTGAAAATCTGCATTTCTAGAAATTCCCGGGTGAGGCTGATGCTCTGATCTGGGACTATGCTTTGAGGGCTCCTTATTAATAACATTTCCTTGACCATTCATAGGAATCCTCTTATAATGAGATGAATTATTCAAACATGCATTTTTAAAATAAATCTGGGAAACTCAGTCTGCCAGCTTCTTGGAATTTGTTAATAAGTTCTGCAGATTATCTCAAAGATTTTTTATTTAGCGATTGCCTCATCAACATATATACTAAAATTGGAACAATACAGAGAAGATTAGCATAGCCCCTTCTCAAGGATGACATGCAATTTCCTGAAACATTCCGTATTTTTTGTAACATTTGTGCACTGTTGGTGGGAATTAAAAATTGTTCAATCACTATGGAAAATAGTATGGAGATTCCTTAAAAGTTAAAATAGAAATACCATATGATACAGCAATCCCCTTTCTGGGTGTATATTATCCACTGACAGATGAATGGATAAAGAAAATGTGGAATATCTATGCAATGGAATGTTTTTGTCTTTAAAAGGATGGAAATTCTGTCACTTGATATAACATGGCTGAACCGTGAAGATAACCATTAACTGAAATAAGCCAGTCACAGAAAGACAAATACTGTATGACTCTATTTTTATGAGGTATCTAAAGTAGCTTAACTTATGTAAACAGGACATAAAACACTGGTTGCCAGGGCATGGAGGAGGTGAAAGAGGGAGTTCGTGTTCAATGGGCATACAGTTTTGGTTTTGCAAGGTGAAACATTTCTAGAGATCTGTTGTAAAGCAATGTGAATATATCTAACACTACTGACCTGTACACTTAAAACGTTTATATGTGTGTGTTACCACCATTAAAGAAAAATTGTTAATTTAAAAATAACACTTTCCCTGGAGGGCACAGTCATCCTTAGTTGGAGAGGTGTCTAGTGAAAAGTGGAGAGGCTCTTTGTGGCTACTCAAATGTGAGCTGGGTGGGAACCCTGGCTCCAGGCTTAGCAAGCCCCAGCCTATGTGCAGGCCTATGGATTCCTTACTTCTCCCAGGTGATTCTTTAAACTACTGGGGTCTGGGTCCAACCCAGAGATTCTAATTTGTTCTGTGATGTAACCTGGGTGGTAGGAGTTTTGAGAACACCCCAGATGGTTTGAATTGTAGCCAAGGCTGTAAAGCATTGTTTGCATCAGGGATTAGCAAATTCTGAAAGGTTAAAAAGGATCTCTTTGAAAGTTTGTCACATATTTATGCTCCATACTGCTCCATCCTCTTCCTCACTGAACTAGGTAGGGAATTCTAATTATTGTCCGCTCCCCCACCAATTAGAGACACTTCCTTAGATGGTGTCTAGTGCCTCTTTCGAATAAATTATGCCAGCGATTACTCTTCTCTGTGGTAGGATTCTGCTGATCAATGGATGGGCTAGATTCTACATAAAAACATTCCTTTTTTGGACCTCAGTTACAGAGAGTTGAGTTCATTATCAATGGGGTTTGCATACGGTCAAGGTTCCCACTGAGAATGGTGTGACAGCCTTAGATTTGGCTGCATGTATACACATAGCCCACCTATCCTTTTAAATCCTGAGAGTCAGTCAAACCTCACAGTTAAAACATAGCATTTGTACTTAAAAATCAAACTGTTGAGCTATAACAAAGTTCCATTCTTTTGCTTATACATTGTTTGACAGGCTATGAATAATGTAGAAGATATCTGAAGAACAAAGAGGTAAAATTTCATTGAGTTAACATTTGCGTGGAGGGATTAGGTCCTGCCAAGTGTGATTTTCCTTGACTCCCTAAAAATCAGTGGTATATTGGAGGATTCACAGATCATCCTAAGGAATTGTAGCTACAGTATTTAGGGTGTGCTCATTACTAAAGAATCCCAAATGGCAACAACTCCCCGCATATTCAGCCATTGTAAGTCAGTTACATACCCAGGAGATCAGAATTTGGCAGCACAGGAGACAGGGGACTTGCCAACTTAATGCTCTTTAATATTAATTGAACTTAACATAACTCGGTTATCTGTATTCCTAGGCAGAATACCAGAAAAGAAGAAGTAAATCTATATTCATATTATATGTATTTTAAAACTGTATAATCATAAATGCATTCATAATTATATGTTCATATTACATAATGTATATTATCATATAGTCTAGATTTATTAAATATATTTCTAGAATGACTGAATAGGAGGAATAGATATGCCGAATCAGTGATTTTCGTGAAATCAGTTACCTAGGAACATTCATGTGACAAAATACTGAATCAGGTGTTATTCATATAAAAACACACTTCTAATACACCATGAAGAAGGCTAAAATACTGCTGTGTGTCTTGCACAATAAGCATTCAGGAATGGGAGCAATTAAAGCCACCTAGAATTTTGTGAGAAGACATCATGAGGAGGTGACTGCCCAGCTGTGTTTTAAAACATGTTTCAAAGTAACCAGCACCACTGGGAAATACAGCGACTGGGGTGGCGTTACTGGGAAGGTATCCAGTGATACATAAAAGACAGAACAGGATAGCAATCTTGGTGAATATTCACTGTATCCAAACTCTGGCTTTCCCTTCTGGAAGATGATGGTGCATAGAGCATTGTCTCTTCCTCATCTTATACAGGCATGTAATATTTACCACAGGGGAAGGAATTCACGATTTCTATTAAGCAACCGGATTTATATTAGTTTTTTGACTATTTAGATGTTAAGCATTGCTGAAATGTATAAAACTAAATTAGCACTCCTAGCATTAGTGCTAATGTAGTAGACAGTGACGGTGGTTATACACAGGGGAAGAACAGCCGATGTAAGGGCTAAAGGAACAGAACCTGATGCAGGGTCCTAGTCATGCTCTGAAACTTATCCCACAGAGTTCAGGTTTCATTAGATAGAAACTAAGCAAAAATTTACTTCACAAGCAAGGACTGTCAATAAATTCAGTGGGTAGTTTTGAAAATATACATCTACCAAGACATAGCCTTGATTTATATATACAGTGAGGCCTAAGAATATGCACTTATAAAAACTCCCAGGAAAGACTGCTGCTTCCAACCAAGATGGAATAACAGGGACTATGTTAACTCTTTTGTAGAAACAGCTAAAAAACTGGACAGAACATATGAAACAATGATTTTGAAGACATAAGACATTAGATGACAAAGGGCAATGATCTCTGAGAGACAAGAAATGCATGCAGTGAGCCCTACAGTTACCCCAGATTACTGCCCTGAGAGAGTTTCCAGATTGTGTTGCTGGCAGAAAAGACCCAGGCTAAGTCTACTGGTCTCCCCATGTTGGAGAAATGGACTTGGGAGTCTGGGGAAGCCGAAGGGTGACTAGAGTTTGCAGACTGAAGTACTGGAGAGAGAGAGCGGCACACAGGAAAGAACCCTGAAAAACTGCAGAGGGTTCCCTCTCTCTGCATGCAAGTGAGAAAATTGCACAAGGGCAGAGAAACATGCACTATTAACCCTTGATTAAAACTCTAGGCAAACTAGAAAAAAAAGAGAATTTAATCTGATAAAGAACGTCTATGAAAAAAACCTTGCAATTAACATATAGTTAATGGTGAAAGACAATTATTTCCCCTTAAGATCACAACTAAGACAGGGATATCTGTTCTCATCACTTCTATTCAACGTTGTCCTAGGCTAGCACAATTAGGCAAGAAAAAGAAAAATAATTGCATCCAGATTGGAAAGGATGAAATACACTTGTCTTTACTTACAGATGGCCTTATTATCTATATAGAAAATTTGATAGAATTTACCGAAAAGAAAGAACCCCAAACTGTTAGAACTAATAAATGAAGTTAGCAGAGTAGCATGATATAAGGTTAACATGCAATGCTCAATTGTATTTAAATGTATTGGCAGTTAATATTTGGAAGTTGAAATAAATGTTATTTACCAAAGCATGAAATAGTAAATAGGGATAAATCTAACAAAAGATGATTAAAACCTATACGTTGAAAGCTATAAAGTATTGCTGAGAGAAATTAACCAAGACTAAGTAATGGAGAGATATACCTTGTCTGTGGGTTGGAAGATTCAATATTGTTAAGATGCCAGTTATCCCCCAAATGATCTAAAGATTCAACACAACCAAATTTCAGCAGCTTTTTTTCCTTAGAAATTGGCAAACTGGTTTTAAAGTTCATATAGAAATGCAAATCATCTAGAACAGCAAAACAAACAAACGAATAGAGAACTTTGAAAATGAAGAACACAGTCAGAGGCTAACACTACCTGACAAAGATTTGTCTAGCTCAAAATACATCTCAAGGCAGACAATCAGGAATATCCTGAAACTATATTAAGTTACTGCTTTCCTCTCTAGCAAATGACTAGTTTGACAAGCTAAATAGTATCCTGGAAGTATATGAGGTAAGGTTTAATTGACAGATTATATACAGGAAGGAAAGGAAATAAGTATGGACAGTAGAGTAGGGATCAAAAACTCATACTCTAAGAGAATCCATATTTCTTAATGCATGTAAATGGTGAAGCAGTATTTATCTGCTTGCCCTTATCCATTGTGAGGATTGAAGCATGTAAATATGTTTTAAATGGACAAAACACTGTGCTGCTCTGTGATTATTAGCATGCAAATAAATGCACATCTTTCATACTGTGTATTTGAGCTTCCCAGGGGTGGAGAAAATTACTTAATTATTGCCCATTCTGGAGAAAAAGTGCCCAAAAGATAGAAGATAGAGACACAACCTGGACCACTTGTAGGGTGTGCGAGCTTGGTGCTCAGTTCCACATTCTGTGCTTTGGACTGGACATTAATAAAGAGAAGCAGCATGTGGGAAAGAAGGAATTATAATCCAGGCATGTACTAAATACTTCTATTAAGCAAGATTTCCATAGCACTTCCTTCTAGCTCAGTAGATAATGGACTTTAGTGATGAGAGGTGAGGATTAAATGAGAAAAAAACATGTGCAAATCATGATGTACAAAGTATTGCACTTATATTAGGAGTTTTATAATTTAGCTGGAAACATACATGGCTTTCAAACCTCCAAAATAATGTTAGCATTTAGGAAAGCAAAACATTCTTTTCTGTGTGGAATAATGTAAACCTTACACTTTGTTCTGTTTCCATTATTGCCATGGTTATCTGGAAGCTCAGAACCAATTATGAAGCACAGTTCTAACAATTTAAAATTTCCTATCTATTTTATATCAGATTCATCTTTCCTTTGGTGCTAGTTTTCTGTTTCAGTTAACTTTCCTATAAACTGCCTTTTCCTTTTTGAGAAGAGGGAGGAAGAAAGAAAATGAGTAAATGAATGAATAAATAAATAATTTATGTAGG